GAGGGCAGTGTCACTGGCCCTCATATGTGGGATCCAAACCGGGGCCCTCTGGTGTCCCAAGCCAGCCCTTAACCAATGCCCCACTCGACTGGCCCTATATTGTTTTTATTTATGGGTGTTTATCTTAAATAAAAGATATAGAGAAGAAAGTTTTTAAAACTATAAAATACACAAAGTTGTTTATAAAGCAGTTATTTCCTTTTACTCTTTTGTGTTTAAGGTGTATAGAAAATGTGCATACATACATATATGTGTACGTAGACATAAATATATTATCACATTCATAGAAATGTTCCCATTGGAATTGGACAGCAAAGTTTTGTATGCTGCTTATAACAGGATATAAAAAACTTGATAGTTTTTCCTTTTTTTAAGTATGAAGAGTTCTACTCCTGTGGGTATCTGAGGCCCACTCCCTTTCTTCATACCCCTAATCCAGCTTTTCTCATATTTTTTTTCATTACCTCCCCAAGAAAAATTTAATTTCTCCATTACAAGAGAAACTAGCACTAAGGAATAAGACTTCTTGTTTGTTGGGTTGAGCTTTAGAGGTCCACAAACCATTGAAATACCTAAGATTTTTGCCTTTCAACGACCAGTTTTCACCCCCTTGGAGGCGATATTGCCACTCCCATTGTGGGAGCATGCCCACATCACGCTGGTTTATCTTCTGTGCAGGTTAAAATGAGGACTGAGATGCCTGGGTTAAATTTGATAACCCTCTGGAGAACTGGATAAAATTAATAAGTCAATACTTAACTATGTATCTCCTAAGAATGAGGACATTGCCATTCTCTTACATAACCATCATGCCATATCACACTTCAGAAAATTAGCGATCAGTAGTATGTAACACATGGTTCATGTTCTGATTTCTTCAGGTATATTTTCTAGTCTTTTTCTCATAATCCAGGAAGCCAGTCCAGGGTTCATGCGTGCACTTAATGTCTTTATTCTCCTTTAATTTAGAACAGTCTTCCTGCCTTTTTTTGTTTTTCGTGGCAGTGGTTTTTCTTTCTTTTAAGAGTCTTGTTTTTAAGTGAGTTGTCTTGTTTTATTTCTGTTTTTAAGTGAGAAAAAACAAGTTATAAAATGAAGTATTTTCCTTTTTTTTTTTTTTTTTAGCTGAGCCATCCTGCCATCTGTTGGCAGCTCAGCGGCAGCTCAGCTCAGGCTGGGCGTCAAATCGCTGTTGCTCAGAGCTCAAACTCTTGAGTGAGCTCTTAACCAACTGAGCCACTCGGCCAGCCCTGAAGTACTTCTTAATAGAATAAAATGCATGTTTTATAAATTATGTGTATAGGGATGAAGTAGAGAACTAGGGCAATACTTAGCAAACTATTAATAGTAATTCTGGAGTGGTTATTATGGGGTCTTTTGCATTTTGCATTTTATATGTTTTAATTTTTAAAAATAAGCATATACAATTTTTATAAAAGAAAAAAAATTTAATTTAAAACCCAAAAGCTAATGGAGATGGATATGAGAATAGCATATCTGTTAAATATCACAGTACTTTGTAATGATAATGTTAAATCTCCACAGGGGTTTATCAACATATTCTTTCTTTGTTGTATTTTAGTCAGTATTTACAAGATGAAAGTAAGACCAAAAGAAATATTGATCTGAATCTTTTAGAGTGGACACACTACAGCATGAAGCCACATGTAAGTTATGATCATCTGTGTTTCAAATACTTGGTTGCATTTACTGTCTGAGGCATATTATTTAGTCTTGACTTCCTTCCTTCCTCCCTTCACACACTCACCCTTAGGCATGTATTCTCCTGAAGTATACATATTAACGATAATCCACTTCTAAATCTTTTAACCAGGATGTCTGCTTCTTAGCCTTTATCTTCTTGCTTGAATTGTAAATATTAAGTATATACTAGCATGTCTCTTACAGAATTGAAAAAAAACTCAATAAATTGAAGCCAACTGTTGTACTTCTCTTGGTTGGCCCTAATAAAAATTTGAAGTTCTTGTTCATAACTTATCTGGTAATTTTATGTATGTAGGTCTTAAGGGCCCAATGCCATAGGTCCTCAAGAGCCAAGCATGCTATTTGTGAATGTGCTTTGGGTCTTGCCAGATTTGAAGCTCATTCAGGGTTTAAAAATGCATACATCTTTTGAGACCTAATGGCTTCTTTTTAAAGTAAGCTACACGAATTTAGTTTTAGCCCTAACCAGTGTATAATGGCTCAACTATCCAAAAGCATTTTCATTTTTAAGCTGAATAATTAGAAAGGTAAGCTTTGACATTTCCTGAGGAGAGTACATATACAAGAAGAGTCTATTGGGATGAAGACTATCTTCTGGGAAATGTAATAAAAGAAAACAAATTCTCTTCATTTGTATGTTGGAGTCTCTAGTTTTCTCCACTCTGTGAGAGATGCTGGGCTCTGCAAAAAGCAAGAGGTACCTACCATATGTGTGGGTGGTGTGCATGTTTAAACAGCCTTTTTTTCACAATTATCATCTGTATTTGTTTGAATAAAAATTGAGCTACTGTCATCTAGTATATTTTCCAGCAGTGGAATCAGACCCTCCTATACTCTTATCTTGTGCTCATAACTGACAGCCAGAGTGTGTATGAGGCTGGCCACAGCTCCTGCCCTGGGCCTGGGGCCTGTGTGAGGTTACCTCACGTGGGTTTGGAATCCACTGACTTTGGCTAACGATACTGTTTTGCCTCAGGACCGAACTGAGCAATCAAGGCAAGATTTCCTGATTGGTTAAAGCCTATCAGGAGACGTTTTTTCTTCCTCCTGCTTGAAGCTTGTGGGGGTCCAAAGCGGTAGTCTTATTTTTCTGGCTAGGGAAAAATAACACGGCAACATTGAAGTAGGTTAACTGTCTTGTAAGCCTATTTTTTGATTGAGCCACACTTAGTCCTTTTCAAAATTTATAAGTGTTTCTGAAATAATTCTGACTAGAATTTCTGTTCCTGATAATAAACCTTTTTTCAGTTTGGTTTCTTTGTATGAAAACTGAGAGATGGAAATCTCACTTTGCTTTTTTCTTTCCTTCTGAAAAACATTTTCTGTGGGGTCACATACTGTATGTCATAGATGGGTTTTTGTACTACATAAACTCTTAAGTGTGTGTGTGTGTGTGTGTGTGTGTAGTACCACATTTAATATTTACCTTTATTTTTTATTTATTATTTTTTTTAAAAGATTTTTACTAGGGAATTGGGGGAAGGGGAACAGACAAGTTGCTGTCCTTTTGTTCTTCAGTCTAGTTGTGGAGGACATTGCTTCACTGCCTAAATGGTAGTGGGATAATTAAGACTATACTTTAAATGTAAGTGTGATTACCAAAGTATTGTTTCCAGAAGCTGGTAATTCAACCATTGTNCGGCTGCTGGCTGCTCACGCTGGCTGCTGGCTACACACGGTAGCCCATGGCAGCCCACTGCAGCAGGGGCTGCAGCCTACGCCGTTGCCGGTGACTCAAGGCAACCCAGCTCCAGGTTGAGCTGTTGTTCAGTATCTTAGCTGTAGAGGGCAGTGTCACTGGCCCTCATATGTGGGATCCAAACAGGGGCCCAATGGCGTCCCAAGCCAGTTCTTAACCAACGCGCCACTCGGCCGGCCCTAGATGAATTCTTATAGGAGCCATTTTATTTTGTCAATAATAAAGGGATATATTGATCACTATATGTGCACGATGTATCTTTTTCTTTATTTCATTTGCATAACTGCAAAATTTTGCCTAATTGTCATCTTGTATCCTTGCATACTTAGCTAAAGCTAGCTTTTAGTTCTTGCCAATTTTCCATTTGGTCCATTATCCAACTGCTCAGTCCCTGCATTTTCTCTCTTGCCTTCCTTCCTCCTCCCCCATGACTAGTGGCATCTTGTAAAACTAGGATGTTTTGTTTCACATTATAAATGTAATATGTTTATCATAGAAAATTTAGAATACAGGAAAAGTGAAAGAACAATATTATTGTTCAAAAGTGCTACCACTCCAAAAGTAACAAAATATTAATGTTTTGATATCCTTCCTTCCAGTTAACATTTTTAAATTGAGGTATAATTTATATATAGTAAAATTCACTGCCAGTTAATATTTCTGCATATTTTTGGAGTGACATACATTGCAGACTTTCTCCTCGAGTTCCTTCTGTTGGTCCTCTTACTAATATGCCTCAAAAGTACAATTTTATTCTTTCTTAAGTCTTCCCATTTTGTGCTGATCATTTTTTATTTTCCATTTCCTGCCATAGACAGTCCTTTTATCCCCTTCTCTAAGACCTTCCCTTCAGTAAGCTTTTTATCTTGTAGTTCATCCTAATTTATTTAGGTTAGAAATTTAGCTTCAATAATGTACTTGCCATGTTCTGATATTTACTCTCTTGGTATTACAGGTCATTAATTTTTACATGAATCTTTTGGTGGAAAGAAATAAAAAACAAGGCTATCCAGCACTTCATGCATTCAGTACATTCTTCTACCCCAAATTAAAGTCTGGGGGTTACCAAGCAGTGAAAAGATGGACCAAAGGGGTCAATCTCTTTGAACAGGAGCTTATTCTGGTGCCTATTCATCGGAAGGTGCATTGGAGCCTGGTGGTGAGTTGAGAGAGGGGTAATTGTTGGGAGTTTGGATAATGATCATTTTCTTAAATAATGAAAGCTACCCTTTTCTGTTTCGTGAAAGTCGGTAGCGTATGTTAAAGGCATACTCCACAGAGTCTTTTCTTAGTTATTGAGTTGAACAACTTGGAAAGATAGATGACAGTTGCTGCAGCTGAGGGGCTTTCATTTTTAACAGGAAAGAGTTTTAGTACACATTAGTTTTGTTTACAAGTTGGTACAGGTTAGTTGTAAAAAAGTAAAGGTATAGAGAAAACAAAACAAATCTCATCACTGAGAGGACCACTAATGTTTTGGGGATTAAGTTTCTAAGCCTTTCTGTAGGAATAGAACTATATAATTATATAGACATGAAGCTCATATCCGTGATGTTTTCAAAAAAATGTGTCTTAGAAATCAATTCATGTTGGTACTGTATTGATTTTTTTAAAGATGCTTTTCTTTTTAGAATAAAATTCTCACTCCTGTTACGGTTGTTCTGGATGTTGCGTTTTTCCATTATAGGTGATAGACCTAAGAAGAAAGTGTCTTAAATATCTGGATTCTATGGGACAAAAGGGCCACAGGATCTGTGAGATTCTCCTGTAAGTAAAAGGCTAAAACATTTCATTGTTGTCTCATGATGCCTTTGTTAGGTGATCTGTCTTCTCTCTAATCATAGGAGGCTCTGGTGGGTGGAGTCTAATAGATGGTGAAGGCTACCTCCCCAGTTGTTCAAAAAGATGAATCCATCTTTTTGTCTAAAAATAGCCTAATATCTGATCTTAACTGAGAAGTCTGTAGCATCATTGAAAACAAGTTTGTCATGAGTTATGATATAAGATATGTCTTATTAGACTCCTGTGACTTTAATTAGATTCTTTGGGATTGATATATTATTCTGAATGTTTAAAGAACCATTAGCTGGGGAGTATTATTCCTCTATATTCTTAATCCTACTCCTGTCTCTGTGCTTTCCATGATAGTTGGGTTTATCTCATAGAAACCCAGAGGTAATTTTTAAAGCATATGGTTTGTAGACAACTGTTTCAAATAGCAATTGCTAGAAATCTACCTTTAGAGCATATCACTTATTAGCTATGTAAAGTGGTGACATGAATGTCATAGTGAGGAAGCAAGTCAGTAAGACAAGTCTATTCTGAACCTCTGCTGCTCACTGTAAACAAATGCAGGTTCCTGCTTTTAATTTTGGTAAGGATACTAAGAGAATTTTAATAAGGATACTTTACTAAGGAACTTGTTAAATGAATGATAGGAAGAAAAGTTAACAATAATTAGTTCAATTCTCTTTTTCAATATTGTTTTACTATATTGTTTTTATTTTATTTTATTTAAAAAAA